TACTCTCTCTCTCTCTCTCTCTCTCTCTCTCTCTCTCTCTCTCTCTTCGGTGCGGACTATTTGGAACCTCCCGAAGGCCCTCGAAGGTTCTTTATCTACGCATTTCTCTGTCTCTGTCTTTCCTAGTTTCCTTTTCATAGTATCCTTATTATATGCGAAATTTCTCTTATTTCATTTTTTCCTTTCTCCCGTAGTGAATCAAACAGAAGCACTTTAGCTTCTAAAATTCGAAAATCTAACTCTATTAAAACGACCCTGTCGTCATTATAGTGGTAGAGGCCGGCGGACATTCAGAGTCAGAAACAAGAAAGCAAAACGAAATAATCAACCGACGAAACAATCTACCGAACCGTTACCACCTCTTCTATTATCCCTGTTAAATCTCCCTCTTCTTTTCTCTTTCAATTAATCCCTCCTGTATCTCTTCTCGACTCATTTTCCCAGCTTTTCTTCGAGTTTTCTATCGGTCCCGCTGGAAATCTGTATTATACATTTGAATCATCGACTTCGAAGCCTTATCTGCCTTACCTTTCCTTTATTCTCCAATAATGGAAAACCGCCGTTTCCTAATGTTGAAATAGATTTTCCGGAATTATTTGATCAACCCCTCCTCCAGAACAAATTCAAGCCTACTTTCCTCCTTAATTTTCCATTATATACACATATACATATTAATGTCAATCAATAAATAATGTCAATTTTTCGTTTTTATTAATTTAAGTTTAGTCCCAAAATATGTTTTGTAATGTATTATCGGATAGGATCATCACTTAATACATTCTTACACTCACACTCTCTCTACTTGAAATCTTACCCGATGACCGCCGAACGACTGTAACACCCGCGATAACATACATGCACTCGCTTACATCATTTCTCTTGCTTCTCAAAAACATGTGCAACATTAATCATATTAAACGTTTAATTTAATTTTAATTTCTCTTTATTTCTCTTAAAAATTTCTCGTCTCATTCTCCCCATCCCACTGATTACACGAGGTCTACCCATGGTAATAGGAATTAAGTTTCTTAACCAGAAAATGACCGACCAGCGCACGTCTGTGGAATAGCGTCATAGTGTTCTTGCATCGCTGACCTAGTGCCGAGATTTATCAGTGCGCTCGGACTCGAGGGATCACGTTTCCGCTTGACCTTCGAGAAAGCAACTGTTCGCGTTTTCCTTCCAAGCTCA